TCTCCTCGCCCGCTCTCTCTCTCGCCCGCTCTCTCTCTCGCCCGCTCTCTCTCTCTCTCTCTTTGTGTGGATTATGCACACACGTATATGTTATACGTGCTGCTCACAAGGTGGATCTTTTTTGCCTTTTATTTTTGCCTCCCATTGCTTCCCTCTACGTTTCTCTCTTCGTGCGGTTTTCAATTCAATTTGCTTCATATCTCTCCCACTCCTTTTGTCCTCCGCATGTGTCTCCTCGTGTCCTTTTCTTCCTTTGCTGCTGTTGCCGCGTTGACGCCTCGGCGCGGAGAGGAAGCTACATGGCTGCGGAGCCGCCGCCGCAGCTGCCCATTGGCGACCGCGGCTACCTTGCGTGCCGCCAGTGCCGTCTCGTGCTGACGGAGGCGCAGTTTCTGCGTGACGGGTGCTCGGTGTGCGGCACGGGGCCCGTGCGCCGCGAGGAGCTGCACGACGTCGCCACCGCCGACTTCTCGAACTTCGTCGGTCTTATCGCGCCGGAGAAGTCGTGGGTCGCGCGGATTATCGGGAGGACGGGGTGCCCCAACGGCGTCTTCGCGGCGGTCCTCAACGACGACGGCGACGACGACGACGACGACGACGACGACGACGGCGGCGCGCACAGCAGCCACGACGACGAGGTCGACGACGAGGAGGAGGGGGAGGAGGAGGGGCCGAAAGACAACACGCCGCCTAGCAGCCGGCGGGAGGTGCCTGTCATCACCGACGAGGAGCTTCTGGCCACCAGAAATGACTGAGGGAGAGGCAGCGCAGGCGGCCCCCGCGCAAACTGAAGGAGGCATTAAAAAAAAAAAAGTAGTGAAATCCTCCAAGATAAAATGGCACGACTCCGTGCGTTTTCAGTGTGTCTCTGTCTTTGTGTGTGTGTGGGGGGAGGGAGGGGGTGCGATGTTTGTTTCTTTTTCTTCCCTCTTCTTCCTTGCTCTCCTTACATTCTTCTTCGCCGCCCCGTACTCCTCGACACGGGGATAGATTGCCCAGGCAGCAGCCGTAGCGGAGGTTCCATGGCCAGCGTGCACAGCCCCGTGCTGCTGCCCTCTAAGATTAGGCCGCAGTCAACTGAGAGGCGAGCTCCTGGCGTGACGGATTCCGCGGCGTACGATGAACTCGTCCACAACTACGCCACCCTCAAGGCGAAGGTGAACACCGTGCTGGTAAGCAATGCCGACACAATTCGCCACGGCCCTGTCGTCGACCTCACACGGAACTACGTCGGTGCCATGGGTCTGCAGGCCATGACGAGCCTCCTCGCGAAAAACGACCGGCTGCAGGAGCTGCACTTACCAGGCAGTGGGCTCAGCAACGACTCTGTGGTCTTTTTCTGCCGCGCGATGATGAAGCATCCACGCCTCGCACGCTTGGACTTTTCGCGTAACGACATCTCACTCGCCGCCGGACTTGCACTCCTTTCCTTGGCGCAGCAGAATCGCAGCGTGGTTGACGTTAACCTAAGTGGGACGCAGGTGCCAGACGCCGTCATGAAGAAGCTTCAGTTCGCGCTGGAGCAAAACAGTTTGCGCGCCGCCCGGGCAGTGGCGGTGGCGGCACCGCGTGGCGCAGCAGCCGGCACATCGCCGGCGACACGCAACACCGAGGCTGGCTTCACTTTCACACTTCGTGAGACGGTTCGAAAGGCGGAGTGGGGGCGTCGGGAGAAGGAGGCGCTGGAACGCCTGACGGCCCTCACACACGCCGCGGCAAACGCACCAGGCGAGCACGCCAAGTTTGTTCCCCTTCCAGACAGTGACTCCGGCTGGCGGCTGCTGGAGGTGGCTATCCTGGCCCCGCCTTTTCTCTTTGAGTCCGAGGTGGCGTTGCTCGTGCAGAGTGTATTCCCGCGTCTCAACGAGGAGTTGCTGGACCGCAAGGTGCACCTTCTTCCCCTCCTGGACCCGCCCGATGAACCCGCGGGGGCATATCTGAGGCAGCTGCGCTTTGCCATCGCGGCGGACGTCCTGCGCAACGTGGAGAAGTCCCGGCTGTTGACAATTGAGTTAGTTGGGGACCGTGCCGGGGAGTATGAGCAGCTTCCCGCAAACGAGATAGTAAAAAGACCGCAGCTGCTGCAGTCGCTGCGTCGGCAGGACGGCAGGACCGACCCCATCCGTGCTGAGAGTAAGGCGGCCCCGCCGTTACGGCCCGTTCTGCAAAAGGCACATGAGTTGGCGACGGCGCTGTCAAGCTGGATCATTATTGCCGCGCGCAAAGACACACGCAGGATCGGCGTACCGCCCCCACTCGCCCCACTGCTTACCGAAGAACCCCCCGTGGAGCACCCGGATTACCTTCAGGCACAAATTCGGCGAACTGTTACAATTGGCTCCGACGTGGTGTGTGGAGCACAGAGGATTGAGTGCGATGCCTCACTGAAGGCGAAGAAATGGCAGGAACATCAGCTGTTTCGCGAGACTTTGTTGGATACGGCCCCGGTACAAGACTTGGTCATTCGCAACTACAACGCCACCTTTGACTTCTGCGGCGATGACGGTCAGGTGCACTTTAAAAACCTGGAGGAGTTTGTAGATGCCGTGCACAAACGCATCCTGCTCATCATGCTGGCACATTTCCCACGCTGTGACGACAGCCATCCGGCGTCTTACCAGGGCCCCAACTTCAACAAGTTTGGGGCGAGGAAGTTGGAGTTGTACCACAAGCGTCTGCGTGTTTTGCTCGACGCGTGTGTGGAACATGCCTTTGTGAAAAAGAGCATCACCGACCGCCTGAGTTTGTACATTGTTACGCCGCCTAGCCGAAATGTATTCCTCTTGCACGGGTCTGAGCCTGTGCCGGTGACGGCACTCCTTGGGTCGTTTGCCTCGCGTTTACTCGCAAGGGATGCACAGAAGTTACGCATCGCGTTTCACACGACCCTTGCGGCGTCGCTCACAGAGGAGCCCACCGATTTACGTGAGATTATCTGCCACGTCATCCTTCAGCTCTCCCCAGACCAGGACCTTTACAGGCGGGCGGTTGCCGAGGTCGACATCGTGCGTCTTCAGCAGCTCCTCGGCGACATACTCACGGGTAAGACGAAAACCGCGGAGGCGTTTACGAAGGGAGGCGGCGGCGGCGATGCCCCCATCACTGTGGTGATTCTTGACGGCCTGGATCGGGTCCTCCCCAACGTTGCGCCATGCAAGGCTCTGCGCCTCTCAAGCGACACGGGAAAGGACGTCTGGGGGACGCCCGAGCCAACGCCCCAGCAGTTTGACAAGTATGGATACATTCCGCTCTGCCTTTCGCGTAATGTGCGTCTGGTGTTGGGCTGTGAAACAAATTCGGATATGTATCGCCGGTTTGAATCACGTGGGCGTGACAGTGCCGAACTTCTCTCCTTGGGGCCCATCACACCGAACGACTTTGACGAGATGCTCCGTCCGGATATACTTTCAAAGATGGGTGTGACCCTCTCCGACGATGACTTTGTGGTGATCCGCAAGAAGGAGGAAGCCCTTTGCCCGGAATACATCATGTTTGTGGTGGACGCACTGCGCAGCTTTAACGAGGTGCCCGGAATCGAGACGCGGGCTGTCATGGCGTCTCTGCCAGGCACCGTGAAGGGGATGGTGCAACGGGTGTACAGCAACGTGCAGGACACCTTCGGTGTCGCGCTTGTCCGGAAGTGTTCACGGCTGCTTTTGTCCTCTCGCTGGGGCATCTATGAGCCACAGCTGCGCTGGATGCTGCGCCTTTCCCAGCGAAGGTTTAACCAGCTCCTCCGCATGATGCGCCCCTTGCTGGAGTATGGAGCACTGTTCTCCCTTGGCATTAGAGAGGGAAATGCCTTGCACCCACGTCTCTGGATCCGGTCACGAGAATTTCGTGCCCTACTCGAGCAGGAGGATCTGCAGCAGGAGGGGGCGGAGGAGGACCAGAAGGTGTGGCACGACATGCTGACGCACTGCTACCTCAACGTGGTGCATGACGTTATTGAGCGAGAGAAGGCACCGCCAATGTTCGGGCTAAGCTCGACAAGCCCTTATGAACGCATGTCAGTGAAGGAGCTGCCGTACCACGTGGTACAGGCGCAGGCGTGGCACATCCTGTTCCGTAGTGTCTTGTCTATGCCCTTTTTGATGCTTGTGTACCGCAACACGCTTGGCTACCACCTCGTGCGGGAGCTCATTCCTGCCTTCAATACCCTGTACGAGATGTATGAACTGGGGGAGCTTGCGAGGGACACGGATGACCTGGATGGGGAGAAACCCACCTCACTCCTGCGGCTGCGCGACTACATTTACTTTTTGCGTCATTATAACGCGCGACTTACGGAGTTTCCACAACTTGTGCTGCAAACGGCGATAGAAAGCGCAGCACAGTTTACCTTTGTTGGCAGTGACGCGAAGGAATACGTCACGCGCAAGATGAGTCATCATGCGCCTCTCCAGCAACGTCGCACCATGTTTTTTGAGGTAGTCGCATGCGCGAAGCCGACGATTCACCACGGCGCGGTGACGGCCTGTTTGTTTTCGCCCAAAGGCAACCGCGTCACCACTGGCAGCGTGGACCGAAGTGTTTGCAGCGTGAGTACGGTGAAGGGCGTGGTCACGGCACAGGCACGACAGGCGCCGACGAGGGTGGAAGAGCTGCTCTACTGTGAAACTGGCTCCTACCACGCTGCTATCTGCCACGACCGCACCCTGCTTATTTACGATAGCGCCCAGTTGAAGCTCGTGTCGCGGTGCGACGGCGGGGTATTTGGAGCGCCCCTTACATCGGTCGCTTTTTCCGCCCGGGGGCGCTTTTATTTGGTGGCGACGGAGGACCTCCACCTGCGGGTCTTTGATACCGAGAAGAGTAAATTGCTGTTGCACGTGGATCAGCGCCAGTTCCTTCCTGAAGGCGACATCGCTGGAGGTGTCAATCTTCTTCGCGGCTACGCCTGCGTTCTGCCGCACCGAGTCGAAGACGAGTTGTTCCACGCCACGTGCCACAATGTGCTGACGACGTGGCAGCTGAGTTCGACACGACACGAATTTGTGCAGGAGTCGCGCCAGGAGGTCGCCTTTACGGTGAGCTCGGGAAGGGCTGTGCTGGCCGGAACACACCTGCTGCTGCACCCCACTCCGTTTCCCGCCCCTGCAGACGGGCGACGGGCGCCTCCACGTTTTGTGCACTTATACAGTCTCTCGCAGGGGCGCGAGGTGGCGGTGCTGACGAGCCCTGGTAGCCAACTCCTGTACCAATTGTCCGCAAATGAGAGGCTGCTCGCAAGTGCGATAGACGACGGATCTGTGGTCATCCACCAACTTCCGTGGGCGACGCTTCAAGCGGAGGAGCTGAATACGGTGGCGATACCGCCGACGATGGAGCTTGCGGCCTACCGTGCATCACCCACGCCGACCGTGAAGGCACTGCGCTTTCGCGGAGACAGCCAGGCTCTCTTTGCCCTGGGCAACCGCTTTGAAATGAAGTTCTGGGCCTTGCCACGGCGTCTGCTGTTCGGCGGTAACGAGGGGAAGACCCCCAGCACCGGTGAGGGGCACCCGGCGGAGGATGCCAGCGCCAATAAAGCGGAGGAAAAGGAACTCGTGGAGGGTGTCGCCGACGGCGAGTTCGTGCTAGAGCCCGCGGAGGTCACCTCGTGGGATGTAGTGCAGGTGCCGCGCACGCAAGATGCCGAGGTGGTGTTTGGTGACTCCACTGGGCGTTTGACGATGCTGCGGCAATGGAGCCCGCTGATGTAAAGGAGAGAAAAGAGCGAAAATGAGAAGAAAAGCAAGGAAAGGAAGAGTAAGCTCCACTTGCTGGTTTGAACGGAACCGGAGCGGGAACGATGTAGAAAGAAGAACCAAGGGAAACATGGCATGTGCGCGTAGAGGACTACCTCCTGCCCTTGCCACCGCTTTAGAGATGGGGGGTGGTGCGGGAACAAACCGAGTTCCTTTGTACCTTCTCTTCACCGCACACGAGGAAACTAGTATGCATGGTATATACATATATGTGCATCTATGTTGCCCTACGGAATTGTGAGGCCCGTCACGGTATTTCTCTTGTATATGTGCTTTTTTTTCCTTTCTCCCTTTCGGTTATTGTACACTCGCTTTGTAGGAATAGGAGGGACTAGGCCTCATCCAGGCGCATCTTCACTGGAGTAATAGTGCAGGCGCCTTGGGTGAGTGGAACTTCGCCGGTTTCCGTGCGGTTACACCCGTGCATCACAGCAGTGAAGTTGTGTTTGCCTGTGGAAGTGCGGGTTAGGGACGGAAATGCAGCCCTCAGTGCTTCAGCGTGGCAGCCAGTCAGGGCCCCTCTACCCACTCAATCGGCGTTGCCCCATACAGACAAAACCCCAGTCGCGGTCATTCTCCCACTCGGCAAGCTCCGGATCTCGGCGCGAACTGGTGCTGCCCAAGTACTCTGCCGGCTCCTGCCCGCAACAGCAAAGCTTTCCAGGCCATCCGCGGCTGCTTCCTCTCTCTGTCACCACCAGCTTGCCGATGGTGCAGCAAATGAAGAATGATAGGCAGTGGAAACCGCGGCGGCCTTCAGCGCAACCTACGCCGGCACAGGCCGCACCAGGAGGTTTGTCGCAGCCGCAGTTTCTCCCGCAGTCAATACAGCAGGCAAAGAACTCCCTCACTAGTCAGGCGGCAACAGATAGCGATCTGCATTCGTCGAGAGGAGCAGAGAATTATTCGCCTATTCCTCTGCGGAACTTTGGCAACACATGCTACATGAATTCGGTCATACAATGCATCTTGCACTCTCCGTGGTTGTTCGCCAGGCTGGCTAAAGTCAACAAGGGGCGGAGGCTGTGTCCAGCGACGTCGGCCCTGTTGGAGTTGAACGGACCAAATGTTTCTAGTTCAAGGCAGCTGCTCCTCATCATCAAGAATGAGGCGGCCAAATTCAATGCGGAATTTCAATATAATGAACAGTCGGATGCACATGAGTTTCTGCGAACGCTTCTCTTTGTGGTGCACAGCGAGGTAAATGTTAGTGGTGGGAATAACGCCCCATATGAGGAGGTGGAGGATGTTGAAGATGAGAAGGAAGAAGCAGCCATGCAACGCTGGCGAGAACACTTTCTTCGGATAGATAACTCCGTCATATACGATCTATTTGGTGGTGTGATGCGCTCCAAGTGTGTTTGTTCTAGGTGTAAAAAGGAGTCTCTGACCTTTGACCCCTTTCTCGACCTCTCGCTTCCGATGATGCAGAGTGCAAAGGAGGCCATGACGATCGAGGCTGCGTTGAAGGCCAACTTCGATGATGTAGAGGAGAAGCTGCGTGGGGGCAATCAGTTGCTCTGCGCGCGGTGTAAGGGACTACGCGATGGGAAGCGCAGCCTGAAAATCAAGCAATGGCCCAAAATTTTAGTGCTGCATTTAAAACGGTTTAGCGACACGGGGCGGAAGAACTCGGGACCAGTCGTGTTCCCGGAGCTTTTCACGACGCATGACTACACCCCGCAGTACCAGTTGTACGGTGTGGTGTGCCACAGTGGATCGGAGCACTGGGGGCACTACACAAGTTACGTGCGCACCTTGTCAGGTCAATGGTACCACTGCAATGACGGCAGCATAGTCCATTCAACCGTCATGGAGGCCACGCGGGCGTTGGCGCTGGCGTATGTTTTATTTTATGCGGCGACGTAGGCGTGGCTCGTGAGTGCGAGCCCTGGTCTGGTGTATATATATATTTATATTCGTTTACCTTTACGCCACTGTGGCGGGAAGACATGAGACACGACGCGGGAGAGAGAGAGAGAGAGAGAGGAGCAAGAGTTGCTGCCGCAAAGCGCTTGCCCTCAGAATGGAGGCGCATGCGGTTTGTGCGTCACTGTTGCAGCGCGAAGCCAGCCTCTCCTCCGGAGCAGGATGGAACTATAGACCCACGCCGTTGTTGATGTGGGCATTTTTATATAAATCCTTTTTCTTTTTTTATCCTGCTTCCCCTTCTGGTTGTTTGTTTGTCTTTCTTTGCTGTTCCCGCCTGGTCGCACTCATTTCCCGTTTAGCAACGGACGACTGTAAACTAGGGTCCAGGGGCGGAAGGCGCGCCACGTACGCGTGTGTGAGTGCGGCGCGGCTCGGTGTCAAGCGAGAGGGAGGAAGAGGATGAAACAACGCTTTTGTTGTTGGACTCGTTGCCTCCCTCGCAACTCGCCGATACCCATTTGCTTTCGTTGTGTTGTGTGCATCGCCCATTGCCCTAAATCTCATGTTTTTTTTTCCGCCATTTCCTTTACACAGTTCTATCTACCTTGTGTATGTGTGTGTCTGTGTTTTTTGTTTTTGTTGCCGATGACGCGGCGCTTTGTTTCCGTGGCCACAGCTGCGCATATGTATGCATAGATGTACGACCATGCACGCATGCAGCTGGGCTGGGGTGGGGGGAGGGTGTGTGAGGAGGATTCCTCGCAAAGTGCCGACGCAATTGCCGCCTCAACTCTCTCCTCCCCTCTTTAAGTCTCCCTTTCGGTGCCGCATGACAAGGCTTTTATTGTATGGAGAGAGTTCAAAAAAAAACAAAAAACAACAACCCCTTGACAGTATATATATCCAAAAGAAAAGTAAAAAAAACAAAAACAAAAATGGACTTACTTAGAGTTTAAATGGGTCTGTATTTGGTGTGACTGTGACACCACCATTGACTGCGGGAAACACGCAGGGGTTGCATGTGGCTGCTTCTGTGTCTGTGTGTGGAGGGCACACACCGTTTTTTTTTATTTGGTTGATTCTTCTCTTCACGTCTTTGCCTTGTCGCTGGCGTCTTTTCTCCTGGAAGAAGGTAACGCGGCCGCGCACAGACACACGCGCATAGCAATATTGGGCCTACTTCGCACAGGAAGGTCCGTGCTGCAGTTGCGTGCGGGGGGAGGGAGTTGTGCTGTGAACTCTGCTTTGTTACGAGCTTGTGGTGTGCGCCGTCGCCCCGCGTAGTAATTCCTGCTTTTGACCGGCGGGGAGGACGGTGAGGGGGAGAGCGCGAGCGAGAAACGGGGTGTACTGCGGGCAACCTGAAACAAAAAAAAAAGAAACATAAACAAAAGGAAGCAGAAGGAATTAGGAAAACAACGAAGCAACTAGGGGATAACGAGATCAACGGAGAAGGGGGCGGACGAACAGCAAAAAAAAAACAGCAGCAAGAAGGAGAAACAATGGGGGAGAGCGTCTTTGAATTTAAGGTGATGGAGCCGGAGCAGCGGAAGGGCGCCGGTGCTCTGGACTTCGCCTACTGGACCTACCGCGTTCGCGCCTCCACGACCCTCTCAACGTACGCGCAGAAGGAGCTGGAGGTGGTGCGGCGCTACAGTGACTTTGAGTGGTTTCGCGCCCAGCTGTGCGAGGCGTACCCGTACTGCATTGTGCCGCCCATTCCCGAGAAGGACGTGCAGGGGACACTCGACAAACTTGTGGGGTCCGACTCGCAGAGCGCTAACCGGTTAAGGGAATACCGACAGCGCGCCCTGAGGAAATTTCTCGTGCGGCTTGGCGCCCACCCACGGCTGCACAACTCGCCCCTGCTGAAGGACTTTTTGGAGATGAACGAAGAGGAGTGGGGGCGAAAAATGAAGGCAAGTGGGAAGAACTCCGACGGCTTCTTCTCCACGGCGCTTGGCGAGGGCGTCAACCACGCCCTCACAAGGCAGTGGAACGCCGGTGCTGCGGCGGCGGAATCCGGGGCCGGTTACGCGCGTATGCTGGCGGACCCCAACACAAATCCACAGGTCTGGGAAGAGACAAGTCTGTACATCCATCACCTGGAGGACAGCATAAAATTGCTGCGGGAGCGGCTGCAAATACTTGTGGATCGCCGCCGCAAGACCGGCAATGCCCTGCATGAGTTTGGTGTGGCCTTTGAGAAAGTTGGCGAGATCGAGCGAGGCATTGAATCCACCCCACTGAGTACTGCCCTTATTGCTGCGGGGCAGCACAGCGAACAACTCTTCTCGATCTATAGCGATCATGCCAATGAGGAGATGAAGCAGGTGGTTGAGACGCTAAACTACTACCAAGGTATGTGCGCTGCGGTGCGTGAGACACTCAAGAGGGTGCAGAGCAGGGCACGTCATGTGGAGTCGCTCCGGCACCACGCAACTGAGGTTGTCGGTCAAAAGGACCGAGCCGTAGAGAAGGGGGGACAGGCTGAGCGGGTGGCAAAGCTGGAAAATGAGCTGGTCGAGTTGGAAGAGCGCTGGGGTGCGGCAAAGCGGGCACTGGGGGCAGGCGAATCCATCTTCAAAGACGAACTTCGCCGCTTCCACCAGGAGAAGCAGTATGATATGAAGGCTATTTTAAAGAATTTTGCAGAGTTACAGCTAAAGTACTCTGCACGCATGAAAGAGACGTGGGAAAGCTTGCGCCCCACAGTGGACGCAGTTCAGTTTGAGGCTGACGGAGGCAGTCAAGGGAATGCCTTACGGTGAAGTGTTAACTTGCTCCTTCCCTCTGCTGCCGTACGTGAGGCGTACCTAACGCGCGGACACAGACCTACATGCACCTGCATGCAAATACGTGCTTTGTTTCAGGCTTCCCCCTTTTTTTTTCTTCCTGCAATTTAGCTTTGCTTTTTTTTCCCCCTCCTCCCTCATTGGTTCGGAAATCACTGCTGTCAAGGTTTCTGCTTCTTCTTCATTCCCTTCCCGTAACGATGTGGCCTGTGTCTCGCGTTGCGTCGGCGTGACTCCTTCTGAGGGCCTATAAACGGGACTTGTGTTCACTGTTGTTCTGTTTTTGTTTTGTTTTCGCGCCCTTTCCAAAGAGTTTTTATTTCGATGTTTTGTTCCGCTTTTCTGGACACAACTCGACAAGTATCGCCGCTCTTCGTGGGTTGTGGTGTGCGGGGAACTAACGTGGAGGGGAGGAGGACGAAGCTTTTTTCCGTTTTTCGTTGCTGCTGTGCTCTGTTGAGTGCGTCGCAGCTCGGCGCACGCCTTCGTTGTGTGGCGCTTTCTCTTGCCCTGGCTTCCGCGGACGCCGTCTGCGTCTTTGCTTCTTTGCAATACTGGCTAATAGATCTCGCGCCGGCTTTGCCTGTTCGTGGGCTTCCCCGCAAACATTTGGTGGACAAAGCGGCGCCAGGGGGAAGAAAAGAAAAGAAAAAGGAAAGGGACGCTCCCGCCTGGCTGCTCGCTGCAGCATGCGACGGGGATCACGGCCTGCGCGGGTGGCCTGGCTGTTGCTGATGCTGATGCTGCTCCTTTTGCTGGGAACATCGGCGGTGGCTGCCGTGGAACACCGTTGCATTCACGCCGACGACAGACTGCAGCGGAGCATTCGTCGCGGTTTGCGGGCCTCCCCGCAGTTGTATGGCGCTGGAGACACTACGGGGCAGACCCCGCACCTGCGCGAGGCGGCGCAGCGTGGATGGAGGGAAAATGGCGTCATGGGGTTCGGTGGGGGGCCGCGTCTGATTCGTGGCAGCAAGCGCCGCGACGCAAATTTGCCTGCAAAGCAACGCGGTCGGCGGCTCAAGAATTCCGGAATTGACACGGGCAGTTGGAGGCCAATTCGTCTCGTTGTGGACACCAGTAACCTTTGGAATTCAACAAAGATATGCACAGCTGTGGGCGAGGTGCGACCGGACTTTATGGGATCCACCTACGTCTGCGCCTCCCACGACATCATGACGCGGGAAAAGTTGTGGGCTATTGAAAACATTGCGATCCCCCTCGCGCTCTACCGCACACAGCGGCTCTTTAACGTTAATCCTGTGCGTGGACCTCTGGTTGTCGCGGCGAACGCCTGCGGCCCTGATGTGGCGATTCCACCGGTCCACCTCACCACTGGTGTGGAGGATGCCGACATGGTGCTTTACGCCCATGCTGGCGGGATGGGTAAGTCTTCCACCTCCGGCATTGTTGGGACCATTGCGTGGGCGGGACACTGCAGTACGGATCAATTTGGTCGACCTGTGGTGGGCCACATCAATTTTGTTCCATCCTTTATTCAAGGCTTCGACTCAGGTTGGAAGTATGACTATTATCTCCGGGTGGTGGTGCACGAACTTTTTCATGCACTTGGGTATACACCAGCATTTTTGAACAATATGGTCAATGCCAGCGAGCGAAGAGGCAAGTTTGTACTCCTCGTGACCGCTCCCGCTGTTGTTGCTGCAGCTAGGGTGCACCTGAATTGCCCCACGCTGGATGGCGTGGAGTTGGAGGACGAAGGGGGGGGTGGCGTCGCAGGGACGCACTGGGAGCGGCGACAATGGATGGATGAACTCATGGCGGGAGTCCCAACCCGCTCGTCTATATCTCAGCTCTCACTCGCCTTCTTCGCGTCCCTCGCCTTTTATACGGTAAACATGCAGTACAGTGAACCCATGGGATGGGCCCACGGAGCCGGTTGCGCTCTTGTTGATCAAGCGTGCAGCACCGACACTCCGTTAAAGGGTCTGGAGTGGTGTAACGAGTCCACAGCAACACAAGCATGCGTGTACGATCGTACATCCGTGGGGTACTGTGACGTGGGCGTCGTGAAGGGCGGCCTACCTCCCTATTTTCGGTACTTTCCAAACAATCCATCATTTGGTGGCCTGGCGCCGTTGACGGACCATTGCCCTATTGTGCTGGGTTACGGGAACCGTCATTGCCGTGACCCTTCTCTGGCCAGCAAAGATGATATGATTTACGGCTTCTATTACGGACCACAAAGTCGTTGTGTTCCTGCCCGCAACATGGTGCACGTTGGATACCAAACCAAAGATGCTTCCCCGCGTTGTCTGCGGGTACGTTGCCGCTGGGGAACACAAGTGGAGATTCTTGTGGGCAATCTTTGGCTTTCGTGCCCTGCAGATGGCAGCGCCGCAGTGCTTTCCATTCCATACTTTAGCGACTATCGTGGAGAGGTCTACTGCGAGCGCGCAGAACTGGTTTGTTCACCGGAAATATTTTATATTCCTGATACCTCCAATGCCGATCTGGGGCCTCTGCGGGAGTATGCGTTGGACCTCGTTCTGGTTCTCAACTCAACGATGGGCGGGAAGGAAACGAAGCCATCAAATGCGTTGGGTTGCAAAGCTGTTCAGGAGGAAGGAAGCTTCTTTGCTCTTTTGCAGCAGGACCTTGCCGTTCTTTGTTCTTGTGACTTTGGCGCCGGTGAAGTACGCGTATTGCCGGAGCAGGCCTCTGTGGCCGTTGGGGGCGGCGCTGTTGCGCTCTACCTCCAGCTCGGCGTCAAGGCGGGACGCGGGCGAGCGCCTCTCGAGAGGCGGAGGGCCGCATACGCGGCGGCCTTCGCGGTCGGCAGCGTCATGGGGCACCTTGCGGCTGATCTTAGCCTCGCGCTGGGGGGGACGGCGACCGTGACTCTGGCGGCGTCTGAGCTGCTAGCGGAGAGGAGTATCTTGGACGGCCTCACCTCGCTCAGCAAGCTCGTTGACTTGGGCGAGGTCACGCTTCACTGCGAGGGCCACGTTGCTGGCATTCCACCACTCTCCAAGGAAGGCGTCAGGGCGTCACTGGCGGAGGCCGCGAGAAGCGACATTTCTCAGTTGATGTACCTCACGCCCAACCTCATTCAGGTAAAACACGTACGCGTTCTGGGGGCGGCGGGGCTGCAGCTAACCGCAACACTTGCCTTCCCACCCATTGTAGAGGATGCCGGCGGAAGGGAGAATGTGCTGCTGTTTTGGTCGCAACTGCTGAACGAGTCTGTTGCGCGTTCTGCGCACCTTTCCGCACTCTCATCGGCGCTTCGGGTGTTGTCTGGGGGCGCACCCGTGAGTCTCACGGAGAGCTGGCCGGCGGGTGCGCTCTCGTTGAGGTCTGCCACCGTGGAGCAGGCGCACCCCGAATATGCACCCACTGGAGACCCGCGCTGCCTTGTCCAGTTTTCGGATTGCTTTGTGCTCCAAATTGTGGTTTTGGTCGCTCTTGTTTTATCGTATTTGTGATAATTTGCACGCTTTTCCTGCTCTGCCTTTGCCCGAAAGGAAAAATGGACGTCTCTGACGAGCAACTCACACTGCTGGTGCCCCTGAAACCCTAGGGCAAATGTCTTGCCTGAGAGTGTTCAGCTTGTTCTCTCCCTGCCCAGCGCAAGACCGCCCTGCGCATGATGATACGCCTCTTTCCCCCATATATATATGTATATATGTGTGTGTGTGTGTGCGTGTGTGTCTGCCTGTCTGTATGTGTTTCGCTTTTTTTCCCCTTCTTCTTTGCCGCGCAACTTTGCTCTTCAACGTTCCCTTTTACGCACTCCGCGTTTCCTCTCTTTTTTCTGTCGCTTTTGCTGTGTCCGTGTGTGTGTGTGTGTGTGTGCGTGCGTCTCTCGAGAGTAGCTGCAAGGATACCGGTACAATCGCGGGGAGGAAGCCATGAGGTCGTGTGGGGCCGCAGTGTTGATCTACACTCTTCTCGCCACGCTCACCGCGGCGGGCGACCTCGTCGGGGCTGCGCCTGCGCCCACCACAAGTGCCCGAGAGTCCCGGCAGATGCACAAGCTTTGGGTCGCGATTTACCTGAACGCCACGGCGTGCTCCGCGGCCGCATCGATCCCACAGTCTTTTCTGGTGGCATTTGAAAAGGACTTGCGTGAGCGCCTCCTCCGCCACATGCCGTTGCTGCGTGGTGCCGCCTCCGCAAACCACTCTTCCACTGGCTCCGTGTCTTGCGCTGCTCCCTGTTTCCCTTCCCGGGGTGCGGCGGCGGTGGATGCCCCCCGGGGACGTGGGGCCGCCTGCTCCCACTATCCCCCTGCACTTTTTTTGCAAGTGGGAGGTTGAAGCGGCGGCGCCCACTCCGGCGGAACTCTATCTAGCGTGCCGGAGGCGCGTCCAGGGGCTGTACATGGCGGCGGACGCCACGGAGACCGCGGGCGCCAGCGGCAATAGGGACGTTTTTGGGCGCTCCTCAGAGGCGTATTGCAACCTGACCGGCGACCGGCGTCCTCTGGTGGCG